AAGTCTCAATCTTTCTACTAAAATTGAGTGCTAACTTTTTCTGTTCAGATGACGACCAATTCTGCAAACCATCAATAAAGAAAGGAAGAAGTTATGGAAAATCACTAATCACAGAAACAATTCGAAAAGAACATACTGATAGCATTATTTGTTATAAAGTTTTTATAGTTAGCTTTTATTCTGATTATTCCTTTGTTAACCGAAACCTATTGACAGTTTTATAGAAGAAAAACGTCAGTGCATTAATTGGGCAAATATAATGCAAGATTAAGGCATTATTAATCAATGATTTACTGCTTAAATCCTTCTCAGACATTATTTTTTCCTTTATAAAGCACCAGTAGCAGACTTTTCTTGGATAAATCTTTTAGTATCTTGAAGAAGATAAGGAAAATCGAACTTTTGGTTTCCTGAATTATAATGAAATCAAAAGAAATTGTGTGGAAAATAGAATGTCTATTGCTTTTTTGCATCCTGATGAACGACTTTTTATTTACAGTGAGTTTCAGAGCATTTTCAGTATGCTATTGGTATTTTTTAAAGTTGAAAACTAGCTTTTTAAATACGATTTAAGGAGCATTTTAGATGTTAAAAGCATTTAAAGCAGAGTTTGATGTCAAATTTCTATTTGAGAAGCAAATTTACTCAAATCTAGTTCCAATCAATTTTTATTTTTACTATTTTTTTGAAAATTTTTATGAATGACACTATTAAAGAAGCTTTCTGTACTTTTCTTTTATAATCTCAAAAACAAGCAAGAGCGAGATTCATAGAAATTTAGAGCAATATAATCAGTGATTTCAGCTGTCGTTTGCCGCTCTCCGTATTTTCATGATCTTTCGGTTACTCAAAAAAAACCTCTTTGAAATTAAGGTTGAAAGTAAGCGTTAAATTAGAGGATTTCTGCCCAACTTACAAAATGCAATGTTAATTCTCTCGAAATTAAGTAGAAAAAAAGAAAAGAGAAGGAAAAACTAACGTGTTTTAAGAACCAATTTAAAGTGAAAGTATAAAGCTGTGGCTTTGAGATTACAGAATTGGTGCAAATGAGGAACGAGCTATGGTTAGAAGGCAAGCGATCAGAGTTTTTAGTGACTTTTGATCTTCCTATAAACGCTGTAATAGAGCGAATTTCGTTGCTAGATAGGTTTTTTATAGACTTTATTTTAAAATTTGGAATTCAAAAAATGCATTGATGTAGAATCGTCTCATCTCCAAACTCGTTTCAAAAGCCTACATTAAGAGAATTTTCCGTAAGGTATGGGTGAATTGTAAATGCTAGCAAATCGTTTTCATAATGAAAAGAAATTTGGCAGGTATTAAAATAGAGAAGTAAAATGTACTAGAAAAGCTCTGCGAAAAACTGGCTAAAGACTTGCTGCTTTGCAGACTTCATTTGGCTTTGGTTAAATGCCAGTGAGAATTCGCCTGAAAAATTCTGGTTGATGTTATAAATTAAATTACCTGAAAGTTTTCTTTCTAAAAATTGAGCGTTTAACAGCAGACAAAACCTGTTACTGAAAACGTTAAGCTAATATATATTTTATTATTTATTTGAAGCAATATCTAAAGATGTTCAAAAACTTCTACAAGCCCAACAAAGACGCTTTTATTTTGAGATCTTTATTATATCCTACTTTTCGCCGCGTCCTGTTTTTGTCCATTATAAAAGGAAAATACAAAGTTTTCTTCACAGTGAAACAAAATTGTTTAAAATATTATAAAATACTAATAGTATAACAGTTAAATGTCAGAGTTTTGAAGCTGTTACAATCTGAAATGTTTCTAAAATGTCTCAGAAATCAGCCAACAAATTTTAAAAATTTCAAAGAATTTCTCTAGCAAAAATTAAAAAAAAATATTATAAAATTTTTAGCAAAAATTGAGTGAAGCACAACCTTTGACTTATGTACTAAGCAGAATAAATCAAAGCTACTGTTAGGTATCCGACTACTGACTTGTGAGGTACTTCAGATAATAAAAATTTGTCAGTTTAAAAAGACTGTTAACTAAGATCTAGTGCAAAATATGGTTTGAAAATTGCTGCATAAATAGTGGAATTTAGAACATATAAGAAAAGAAATAATAATAGACGAATATCGAACAGCTTTACTTGTACTTATCTCGGCAAAAACGTTGTCGCTTACCAAAACAATATCAGGACCGGTATCGCAGCCTGAACGATCGCAACAAAAAATCAATAGTAAACAAGAAAGACAAGATCTCCCAAATACATCACAGGTATTTGAAGGTAATTTTAGCACAGCTAAAGTAAAATATTTGAGTTTTTCTATTTAAAAGTTTGTTGTATACAACTTTTAAATCAATTTCAGAAAATCATCTGCATATATTTGCACTGAGTTTGATTTTGCGTCAGTGACACATTTTACGTCTAAAAAACGTATGCTTTCAGTGTTATAGGATACAAACAAAAATACTATGGCAAAAAAGAACTCTCTTCAATTAATAGCAAATGAACATAATAAAAGGATGTCATGCTTTGTTTGGCATATAAACGAGTACGATTTTGAAAAAGGTAACCAATGACTTTGCTAAATACCTTCAATTTATCATAAAGTTAAAAACCTTTCATTATAGAATTAGACAAATTCTCCAATCTGCTCATTAAAACGTAATTGCGCTGTTACGTAAGAAACAATTACTTCCTTAGTAGCGCTTGATAACTTGACGTTGTCTGTTTTCTGCTTTTCTTTCTCTAATTAGCGGTACTTAATAAAAAAAAAAAAAAGCAAATTTGATCTTTTCATTTTGAAGTAAGGCTTAAAGAAAAGACCAGAAGTATTACCAAGGTTATCAGCGGTTGAGCTGGTAAACCGTAGGATATCTGTTGCTCGCATTCGTATTTGATTCTCCAAAATAACAATGGTGAGAGAACAGATTACGGGAAGTGCCGCGAGGAAGAATCAGCAAACTGGCAAATTTTGACAGTACAGTTTTTATAAACAGACAAGTCTAACACGTTGCGGAAAAATACTTCTTACGCAAGATGATGCTTCTCTTGGAAATGCGCTGTGTCTTGAAAAAAACCTATCTCTGAATCTGGTCCCAATTGAAACAGCTGTTTTTTTTTTGCAAAACAGCTGAGAATTCGCACGGTAAATGTGTGATTCAGTTCTGTAGATTAAAATTAGGAATAGAAACAGGTTTGTAGAAAAAGATAGAACCAAAACTTAGTGTGCATAAGAAAAAAATAAGGAAATGAAATGAAAGATAAAAAAAATTTTTTATTAAAGCTTTTACTAAGCCAAATTATGATACTGTAGCAGTTTTTTGAGAAGGCAGCAACAGTTAAAAACTTCCTCAAATCTTCTTCGGATTTACGAAAAGAAACTGCAATGGTCTGTCCATCCATCCACTCAGCACAAATGTATTTGGTTCAAACGAATTAAGTCACGCATAGCTGCTGCCACTAATGTTTCAGCTGCTTAAAATTTTACCAGTAATTCCACATTGTTTATATACGAGTTTTTTTGAATCTGACACACTTCTCTCAGTTCACATTTACGTGTTTATAATTGCAGCTAAATTTTTTTCTGTAGCTTGAGAATGGCCATTTTATGCACTATAAGAGCAAAAAAAGAAGACGAACAAAATTATGACCGTAAAATTTATTTAGCAAAGGCCTGAGTCATCTTTAATAAGTCACTGTTTTTTTGTTTAATAGTTCTTTAAGAGTGAAACTTTCGTTAACACTTTTCGTTCTTCTCATTTTTCGTAATGTATACTTATTTTTGATCTAGAAGCGTCATTTTCCAATTAAATGCATCTGAAGTGGAAAGGTTGTTATGTTTGTCAAAACTTACCTTATCTTCCGACTACATTTCTTCTAATGTTTAGCTGTTAAATTTTTAGATTTTTTAGAACAAGTTTTCAAAAGCTTCAATATTGAAAAATTCAATGTGGCTAGTAAAGAATTCTTTTCACTGTCATGCCTTTAACCTTGTTTAGTCTGCTTTTTACTCCAGGAGTTTTTACACCAGCATTCCGAAATGATAGTGCGGCAAAAATATTATTCTAACATCACTTTATATTGTTCTCAGTACTGCTGATAAGCTTTTCCATATTTACAACTAATAAGCTCTTAGATGTCTTCCTTACCCAAGTAAGAGCACTTGATTTTTCACAAGTTATCGCTGCTTGTCGATCATCCTCACTATATGAGTAAGTTAAAAATCGCACTTTAGGTGATGCATCTTTTTTACCCATCTTCCAAAGTTGTTTTTGTAGTGTTCATGATTTTCGGAATATGTCGAATTAGTCTCTCAACTCTGTCATTTACATAACATGTTTTTCGCCAGGCAGCGTGGCACATTGTTGAACTCGCTACTCGTGATTTTTGGACCTTGTTTGCAACAACTCATTTCTTTTCTAAGAGATTTTGCTATCAAAACATTACATCAAAAAAACCGATTTATTGTGCGAATATTTTGTCAAAGAAGTGAATTTTTTTTACGACTTGTTTGCTGTACACCATAAAATTTTTTCTGCTATGTAATGACAGCAGGTCGACGAAATAGAAAGTTGGAACATTGCAGATATTACAATGGAGAATTGTTCAGTACCACGCACAAATGTGATCGTTTGTAAAAAAGAGGTATTATGTATTTTACATTCTTAAAGGACTAGATTTCCTAGCCAGAGGTATAGTTCAAAAAGTCTTTTAGAATTCTTGTTGTGATTGAGATATACGTAATCGTTTAGAAGACTGTATAGCGCATTCCCTTTACTTCTCATCAAACTAGCCTCTTAGGATGCTTGGCGTCAAATGTAATGAAATAGGCTAAAGGTTTTTTAAGACCTAAAAATTACCGTGGCAGTCATATTACATTTTCAAATTTTCATGCTATGTTTGTCCAGAGTACTGCTTTTACGACAAGGCCACTGAAAGGTTTTGTTCGGTATTACTTAAAGCTTAAATTGCCATATCCATCTGCCCTCTTTTTCTCCTAACTGATCTTTTATTCATTGAATACCCATATAACTCATGAATTTATTGCATTCTATTATCTTTGAACTTTTTAACTAGTAGGCAACCAAAAGTTGATTTAGTTTATCACAAACGGAAGCAACGAGTTCAACAGAATAAGGATAAATAGTACAATACGATCACTTCAACTACGGAGAGGTAATTTTTGAAAAATGTTAGTCTTCTCTTCTTGGTGCGTATAATATGTATTTCTCGTAAAACTGGTGAAACTACATTTTACCAATGTCACTCCAAAAAAAGTGCCTTTCTCCATGCAATTTTTTTTCCTCCATTTGCAAATTTCACATGTATGCTTTATTCAAGATCTTCAGCTTTAAAGGAATCCCTATATCGTTTCTGCAACTTTCAAAACATCTCGTACTATGCGGGATCCTCTTTAGCAAAACTTTTGGTATATCGTTATTGAGCAGTGTTCTCAGCAGACAAAGTCCTGGGACGTTACCAAAATCAATTATTTGGTTTCTCTTTTGTTTCCAACTACTCCGCTACTCTGCGACAACTGCCTTTACCAAACAGCTTATATACCATCAATCTTACAGCAGAAGTAAACAATTGAAAATGCAATATTAAACTAGTGACTCTCAGCTTACCATTCAAATTGATACAAAGAAACAAAATTAAAAACTCAATAAGATTACAGCCTATTTTTCTTCTGCAAATTAGTTATAAAATGCATATAGCTTGTATCTGTTGCACAGCTTGTATCATCAGCATTGGCAAGAATAGTTTTTCATTTGGCTATATTTCTGAGTATTCATTTTGAAAAAGACCTCCACAAGAAATATGTCCCGCTTATTTTGTGTATTAGGTATACTGACTCCTAATGCACAGAAGGTTTTAATTACACAAATGTGCACAAACAACTTTTAAATTGCTGAATAGATAAGAAAGTGCACAAGACATGAAACTCTTGAAAATAGCAAAAAATCTAAACTGCTAAAGCTGTTTAAAATTACAGTTACAGAATAGCCGTACGTCTGATGCACTGTACGGTTCTAGCAATCATTACTGACAGAAAATTTAGATAAACGTGAAAATGCTAAGAAAAACTTTAAACGCTGACTGAAGAGTTTGCAGTAATTTAAATGAAATGGCAAATTTGACTCTACCATGAAAAAAGTTTTGAAGCCAAAAAGGTGGTAGGAAATAGGAAATTGAGAAGATATTTTAAGGTAAACACTGTAAGCCAGAAAAGCTGCAAATTACTTTTATTTAACATTTCCTTTTTGTCCAAAAGTTGTTTGAAACTTGAAATATTTTTAGGTATATTTTATCAGAGTGTTAAATTTATTGTGATTGTTGCCGTTATGGTGGTAATCGTTGCGCTTTTAACTGCAATTATGCAGTGGAAAAAGCCAGATGATAAAGAAAATGAAATTGGTTTAAAAAGTGAACATTTGCAGTCGTCATTGTCGCTACCAGAGGAATTGTACTCCAATAAAATTTCAAGCACAAACATGACAAGCATTTACGATAACTCTGATATTATAAATTTAAATGCACCTCCGCGGCTGCAGGAAAGGTTATTGGAAGAATCAATGGAATCTCGTTTTCTACTAACACGGAAGTTGTTAACTGAACCAAATGACACTCCTGTAAGACTGAAAGAGAAATTATTGGAAGAAAGTATCAATGCTCCAAGAAGTTTGAAAGAGAAATTGTTAGAAGATTCTCCTGACGCACCTATCCGGTTAAGAGAAAAATTCTTGGAAGAGCGTAAGAGGCCGCAGAAAGGCTCAGAACATCAAGAACAGCCAGTTAAGCAAGAACCGGATGAAGTTACAGAATTTCGTTAGAGGTGATGTTCTTCAATGTCATTAAAAATATTTCTTTCTTAATCACCTGTGATAGTATCGGTGAATGCACAACACCAGAATTTGACCTCATGTGACAATTTATCTACGGGTAGCAGTCAGTTGTCTGTATCTGTTTTATAGAGTGATTGCATCATTTTTAATCATTTTATTTGGCCAAAAAATAGTTTAGAATACTACCCTAAAAAAATCTTTATTCTTTGGAGATAGAAATAAAAAGGGCTGGGTAAACTTTGTAAGGAGATTCTTTTGGAAGAATGCTGCTGTGAAACTGATAATAACGACAACAACTGTGTTATTGCAAGATTTGTGTTTATCGATCGTTCTTAATCTTTCTGGCTGAAAAATTATCTTCTTTTTGTAAATTCTTGCTTTCTTTGTTGACATCTTGTTGACACTGATGTACTTAAGAGATGAAGCAGAAAGGCAGTGTTATTGGCTGTCATTAGCGCAGTTGAAGTAATGATTTTCGGGATGGTATGACTTCGTTAATAAATATTTATCACTAAATCAAAAGTCTTTCAAGAATATAAGACCAAAAACCTAACGGCTTATCTGTCTATATCGTTCCAAGAATTTTAGTACTTATTTTATGTAGTAACCGTAGTCCTGTAATATATCGTTCTTTTGCTAAATGTTTTCAGTTTCACGTTAACCTTTAAGCTCACAGTAAAAATCGGTGGTATTTAATGTTTATTAAAACTCAATGCTATTCATTCTAGAATTTCTTCGCAAGTTCTTTGATGTTTGAGGGCAGAAGATTGTTTTTTATCCACTGAAGGTGTGGCATAAGTCGTTGCTCTGAGTAAAGACTGTGCACATGTAGTGCTCAACTTTTTTAAAAAAGCCCACAAAACGAAACATCGAGGAGTAGTGTGGTAAAATCTTTAGTCGTATTCAGTACTTCTTCTAAAGTGCTTACAACTAATTCTCCATGTTGCTACTTCTCTTAGTGTTTATGCAAACCATCGTTTCATAAACTATTTCGTAATCACTTTAAGGGACAGAATACCACTTTTATTCGTGATAAATTCTTATTTCTTGCCAAGTTTCATTAAGTAATTACTGGATACAGTTTTTTCAAGTGAATTAAAAGTGGCTGTATGCGGAAGCAAAAACTGAGAGAAGTGGAAAAAAAGAAAAATTTGGTCATGATTTAGAGTTTGCTTCACTAAAAAAGAGTCACTAAAATGCCAAAAGTTTTCTACAAACTGACGATAATATGTCAGTGCGTGTCTTTCTCGTAATTACACTCTTGCAAAACAAAGATCTGTTGAAAAAAAGAACAGTGATAAGCCTCTGACATCTGTTAACACGACAAGCTGACTGTAATTAAGTGCTGATATGACAAAATTTGTTTTCTGATGTTTTAAAAACAAATAATTTCTTAGTTGTTTAGTGTGCATCAGCAGTCATCGCTAAAAAAAAATAACAAAACTTAAACTTTTTATGACCTGTTTATCTCTCCTAACTAACGGCCTCTTTTTATTGTTCCATAAAAGCAATGTCAGAAGACTGAGAAGAGCGCAAAACAATTATCAGAGTGCATCCTGTTCATTCCACCAGAGTAGGAAAAGTGGGCTAAAAATTAGAAATCTTTCTACCTAGCAGTGCTGTTTATTAAGTCAGAAGAGAATCAGTAATCTGTTATCATTGCTGGTGAAAAATTTATAATTCCTACTAAAAATCACGCATTCTGTTAACCTCGTTTTACAATAATCGCTCGTCTATTTTCCTTTCTCACTTCTAAGTACTTCCACTTCCCCTAAAACAAGTGCAGATGAATCCGTATTTGTGCCAACGGTTTAAAAAGTTTCATTAAAGTGTAAAAAACTAGTAATTAAACAGTTCAAGCTTCTTTTACATTATAGCGCTTTAACCTGAGCTGACTGTGCACTAAAACATAACAGTCATTGATCAGCTGAGACTGGACAGACAACGGAATTTCCCAGTTTTGACACTTCAACTATTCACCGAAAACAGTCTTCTTTTTAAATTTATGCAAGTAAAATAATTGAAGTGTTAGAATTATTTGTCAGGTTGTTGTGCTAATTAAGTGTTTAATTTGGTAGCTTCCTCAGTACAAAAAAAACTATTGACGACTTTTAAGTGTAACAAGAAAAAATTTTCTCAGACATGAATATTACTTTCAAATTCTAGCAAATCGTACGTTCCAGTCAAAACGCTTTTTTCTACAGAATTTCAACATCCAGAATTCTGATTAGAAAACAAAAAGTTATGTAGAGGGAAAATGCAGCGAAATATAATTGGAAAAATTAAAGCATTTGGAATGGGTTCAAAGGTAAAGCGAAGAATAACAAAGCATAAATGAGATAGAGAAGAAGCACAATTAGATTGATACACAACTGCGATGCTTAGCTTATCGAAAGCAAGAATTCCATTATATGATATAAATATGCGGCTTCAAGTAATTAATAAAGACAAATACACAAAACTCATTGCTAGGAAGGCAGCATACAGCTATGTACATCAAAAAAAAAAAAAAAAA